GCACTTATTCCCATAATCCCAGGAACACTTACACCCATAATCCCAGCACTGTATCATGAATTAATCACAAACATTAGAAGCCTGCCCGAGTGAATGAATGATGTTTGGGGGGAACACCTAGACACAAACCATAACATCCTGTCTGATCTTGGTATTAAAAGATGGGTCCCCATTAGCCCAGGGTTGACTTGGACTCTAGCTGAGTCACTGAGGATTTGGAGATTGGTCTATACTTGGCTAAGCACTAGAAAGTTTTCAATTTCATGTGATAACTCAGGCTGGGGTGGGATACGGAACGAAGAGGCCTATCTCTTGCGGCACAGCGATGTTAGGGAGTGGTCCTCGCCTCAGTGCTCCTGCACATTCTTGTTGACAGCATTATTCAGAGCTCCAGAAGTGCAGGGGATGTGTGAACATGTTGAATTAATGAAACACAAAGTCAGATATTTCAGAACCTGAAAAAGGGTTCAATTCCAGAAATGAGCAAAGGTTTGAGAAGAGCCTTATTTGTGTGTGTGTGTGTGTGTGTGTGTGTGTGTGTGTGTGTGTGTGGTTTATTCATCCTTCATAGACACAAAAATAAATCTTTCAAAGAACATGAATATTTGAGGCTCTTGGCAACACACAATCTCTGGCAACTTCTCTCTTATTTATATCATGTAATTATACTTGCCTTTATGTGAGTGTCCTTTTCATTATTGAGTCTAACATGGTCTTTTGTCAAATTCCAGTTATCGATTAGCACTGGTAACTCTGAAATGTGGCTTTTTATACATCAATAAATCTCTTTTCCCCCTTCTGAAATCGTAGCAGAACTCATTGGACATTTGGGGGAGAAAACAACTTAAAATTCACATGCAGATTTTGGCTGCCAATTCAGGACTTTGTTACTCTGCGATTTGCCAAGATTTTCGCTTACTTCTCGCTGAAAGTGCCGGGCTTGGGGGTGGGGGATCCCGGTTGCCAGAGTGAAAATGGAGTGACATCATTAGAATTCAGCTGAATCTGACTCCCATGAAATTCTGGCTTTTGCATTCCTCCTTTTTTTTTTTTTTTTTTTTTAATTTCCCCATCTCTGCTGCTCTTCAATTCATCCTGTAATCTCAGATGAGAAGCTGACAAAACACTGCTCAGAGGCATGACATCACTGACCAACTATGAGATTTGTTTGAGTAAATATAATAAACAACCAAAGACTTGGCCTTTTTTCAAGAGATTTAATCCTTTCTCTAGTTGCGGATATACAGTGCTAATTTTCATTGGGAGAACTTTGCCCCCTTGAGTAGGACAGAATGAACATTGCTGGGGAAGAACCTTGCCAGTCCTAAGCATCAGATATTTATAGCTTCTTTTTATTATGCAAGCGAATTGTCCTTGTCTAATCTCTAGTGCCACCAGAATACTTAGTTGCACCCAATGTCAGTTCCTAATCACGTCAGGAAGTCAAGAAAGAAAGGTCTTTGATAAATGCTATTTTCTTTTTTCTGTGTTTGTATCAAGATGCCTTGAGATCGTAATTACTGTTTTATTTGGAAAACAGTTTCATTAGTTCCTGTGTTAAGTAACAGTCTCAAGCCCAAAGGAGTTGGTGGAACTTTTAGCGGTGTCTTATCAGCAGTCGCCAAAGTGCCCCTCAGTTCTTTTGCAGTTAGTCGGCCTGTTCCCACCCTTGTCTGCTTGGGCTGGGATGCAGGCTCGCACTCCCTGAGGCTGCCAACTCCAGCACATGGTGAGGAGCCGCTCTCAATATGGGAGAGTCTGCAAAGTACAGTTTCAGAATGGGTGCCGTTTCCTCACAGCGAGTTTCCTTCTTCCCATTGAATGTTGGCAGCCTTAATTTTGGAATGTTTTTGCATTTACAATCAAGAAACTTTCAAAAGATGTTATTCTGACTGGCTTATTAAGGACCCAAGATTTATGGCACATTTAATTCTACCTGACTTCCATTGGGTGACTGCATAGGGAGCACATGCAGTGTGTTCAGATTTTGTCATAGCTGGAGAAGAGCATACTTTTTATCACATATCAGATTCAAGCATTTATTCATTCTACTTGCTTATTTATTTTTGCAACACCAAAATGATTAGCACATGGGCTTTGTGACTTATGCCACTTGTGGGGTGACGTTTCCACATCTTCGCGGTTAGGAGGCCGGGAGAAGGCACACAACTAGAGCACTGTGGCTCTGAGGAGCTGTTTACTTTCTTGTAAAGCAGAAACCTATTTAGGGTGATCCTTATGCTGCTGTGGGAGCAGTGAGGGTCAGCAGTTGTGGTGACAGATTAGTTTTGACAAGCTTAATGACCCCAAAGAGGAAAGTCTGTGGCTCTGATAGTGACTGGGTAATAATTGGTAAGCTCAGCCAAGTGGGGAATGTGTTAGAATTCCCCACTCCTCTGTGGCAGGCCAATTACACCATTCAGCAAAGGAGTGGAAGGTTGCCACAGCTTCTTTAGCCTTACAAAAGCATCAGCAGGCTGTATTTCAATCAATTGAATTTGGTTTGGCGGGGACATTAGGACATTTAAAGAAACAACTGAATCTTTCAAAGTATGTTCCTAGGAAAAACTTGGGCAAAGAGCAAAAGGAGAATGTTTGTAAGGCACCGGTGGACAGTGTTGACCTCACTATTGGCAAATTCTCTTTGTGTATCAGGGGCTACTTTTCCTTCATCTGCCCAGGGTGGCAGGCCCTGTGGCCAAGTGTGGACTTACTAGAGTGCCTGAAAAATAAATAATTACTAGTTATCAGTCCACAGAAAACAACATTTTCACTAGCTTATTCAACAAAAATTTCACTGTGAACCTACTTTGCGCCAGGACCATTCTTAGTGCCAAGAAATAAAATGAACAAAGAGAAGACTCCTGCCTGCATGACAAATGTGTTCTAGTGGATGGGAATTTCATAGACAAGTCATAAATCAGGTGGTGGCAAGCCTTCCAGGAGAGATAACTGGGACATGGGGCAGTGTTTGCTTGGGCTGCCATAACACAGATTATGTGACATAAGTGATAAAAGTTTAATGTCTCTCAGTTCTGGAGATTATAAGTCTGAAATCAGGGTATCAGCAGGGGTGGTCCCTTGTGAAGACCAAGGGAAGGCTCTGTTCTAGATTTCTCTCCTTGATTTGTGGATGCTTGTTTTCATCTATTTACACAGTGTTCTTCACGTATTTTCAGGTCATCTTCACTTCGGGTGTCTCTAGCATGACCTAGTGTCCTCTTCTTAAAGCAACACCGACACATTACATGAAAGTTTTCCCTAATGCCAGAGAGACTATTGCTAAATACAGTCACTGAGAAGTACTTCCACCTATGAATTTAAATAAATACAAATAAACTACTGAAGACGGTGCCTTTTTAAAATCTCATAATAGCAGTTAGACTGCCTAAGAAAAGGCCTTCAGAGAAGTGTTGGAAGAAGAAACTGTCTCCAGAAAAGTTCCAGGCAGGACGTTGGGGAAAAGGCCCTGGGATGGGAAGGGCTTTCTGCTAAAAGTAGGGTAGCTGGAGTGCTGGAAGGGAAGGGAAGGGAACGGATTACATCAGAGATAAGCAAGCCAGATCCCTTGGGCTTTGTTAGCCAGCTGAGATTAACCTTGGTGCTTTTTTTTTTCCTTAATTTTATTGAGAAACAAAGAACAATGAGACAGATTCAAATCAAAATGGTAGGACAGTTCCAATAGTTAACACACTGCATACTGCCTTCCTAGAGGTTATTTGTTGTACAAGATGCAGACATGATATCCTATTTACAAACACTATTAGAACAAATCCCTCTGTTCATTGAACTAAGAAAATGTAGCTATATATCTATCCTAACCATTTTGAATACACAGATACAAAATGGACATTCATCTGTATCCCCTTTTTTAATTTAGTTCCATCATTTAAATATTATAGGTGTGTGAACTCAGCAAAATATTCCAAAATAGTCCAGTAGTCCATAATAGTATTGGGTCTTCTGCTTGACTGGCAGCATCAGAAGTTGTTGACCTGAGTCCCCTACAGCTCAACATAATACCATGGCTTTACTTCTTATACTTCGTTTTTATACTTTTCTGCTGGATGGATAAGACCAAGATAAAGCAAGACCTATATAACAAGAATTGTAGTTTTTGTATCTGATAAGGTCAGTGAAATCCCCTCAGGATTTATCCTGAGATCCTGTACCTCAGATTGTAGATCCTTTGTCAGTGTCAGCCATGTGGATGAGTCATGGCCATTGCTTGGCCAATTTGCTCTCTGTGACAGCCTGAGAGAATGTTTTCTCTCCATGTGACTCTCCTTGGGCACACTCTGCCTAAGTTTTATTCTGAGTACAGAACTGTCCTCCTTTCCATGTGGACAATGTTTCAAAACCCTGGTTAGTGCCTGAAATGGCAGGTAGCACCTAACCCTACACATACTATACTTTTTCCTGTGACATAGAGAACTTTCACCTTTCCACTTTAAGAAAATGCTCTATAACTTTTTGTTGGCATTTTCAAGTTGTCAGCATCACTTTTGAGCTGTGCAATCAGAATTAAGTTAAAAAAAAAGGGGGGGGGGGGTCACTGGAACACAAGAACTGCAGCACCAGGATGGTGGGCCCAGCAACTGTAGCACAGCCTAAGTGGCTTAAAGGCAAGCAATGTTCATAGCACAAGTGTGCGGAGGAGAGGAGCGATTTATGCCCTAGAGAGTGGAGTGGGGCTGAGAGAGACCCATCACCAGAATGACAGGTAGTTTAAGATATAGGCAGATTTTTTTTCTTTTCTTTTTTATGTATTTGGTACAAGGTCTCAACACAGCTCAGACTCATAGTAATCTTCCTGTTTTCAGCCTCCCCAGCACTGGGATTACAGTTGTGCATCACCACACCTGGACTTGGTGGCCGGCTCAGCATTCCGGGGGGTGGGGCCAGCACGGCATGTGGTACCCGGGATGGAACCCCAGTCCCTGTTCTTGCCTCAGCAGGCACTTAGTCCACTGAGCTATCTTGTTGGCCCTGATGTAGGCATACTTACTGGCAGGGGACATACCATGATCAAGAAAGTGGTTTTCCCAGGGCGAGGCTTACCCTTTGCACTCTGTATGTGCTGCCCCCTGTGATGTCCCCAAATGTGGGAAGGTGAACTGCATAATTTGTGGTAGTAGAGGACTGTGTTTCCTCTTTTCCTTGGGGAAAAAAAAAGATGTAGGGATTATTTTTGGAATTTGTCATTTCACTTGTTTTGGATCACAGTAACAAACTATGGGAGGTAATATCTCAGATGAGGGAGGACCACTGTACTATTCGAAGCCAGTGGAACTCTTTCTGGTTCTAGTTTACATTTTAAAGCAGCCATAGGTTGAGTGGCTTATAAAGGACGGAAGCGTATTTCCCACAGCTCTAGAGGCAGATCAAGGCACCTGGAGAGGAGCTGCTTCCTCAAGGTGCCTCTTGCCTGTCTCCTCACCTGGCAGAGAGAGGCAGCTATGTAGCTGCCTGAGAGCTCTTAAGGCACTAATTCCATTCCATGATCTACTGTATTAACTCATCAAATGTCCCACATCCTAACACCATATCACCGTGAGGGTTAGGGCTACCACATGTGAATTTGGAAGGACCACAGGAAAGCGGTGTATCAAGTGCAGTGTGGGCTACCCTGAAGTCTCCACTGCAGCCTAACCCAGCTCTCTCACCCCGGGCTTCCCCTGTGCTTCACCACAAGGGCATGTGGCTCCTCTACACCTTCCTCCCTTAGCACACTGTTTTTTGCATGCCTTCTACACTTGCCTGTTACTTCTTTTGCCCGGATTTCCTTGAGCGCCTATTTACACATGGAACTCCTAGTCATTCTCCGACACCTCCCTGACCCTTAAAAGTTACTTTCTTTGCTACTGTCCACATTTGTAGACTTTTGTGCTTTTTATTGTGTGAAGTTGTATTGAATTTCTTTAGTGACATGCCTGCTTTGCCAAGTACTGCATGAGATTACTGAGGACAAGAACTGTATCTCATTCATCTTCTGAGATCCAGCCCCCAAAGCCCAACACATGTTTATTAAATGAATGACTAAATGAAGTATAAGATTAGGCACAACACTTGAGGATTCTATTAAGAACTCAAGGGATAGAGTAGAGATGATGAGGAACTTTTAGACACATCAGTTGGAGTCCAATCCTAGCTCGCATTGCTTCTGTCCTTTGTTGCTTAACTTCTTTGAGCCTCCATTCCTTCATTAATAAAATTAGCCTAATGATTCATTCATGAGCCCTAAAAGACTAATTTAGGCAACTGTTGTGAATGCACCTGACCCTTCAACCTGGTGCATTCTAGATACTCATTAAAATGGTATTTTCTTTCTCTTGACCTCATTTTGAAAGCCATATTGTTATTATACATGGAGAGCAAAGCGCATGAAGATTCATGAAAACCTTGAATTGACCGGTTGTTCATTTCAGGGTTTGGTAGTTGTCTGTGGCAGACATTTACCCTTGACATATGCTTCTAGAGAGCTTAGAGAATGGAAGATCGAGGGGGGGGTTGCAACATTCTGGGAGAAGGGGGGGCTTGGATGACGGGAAGAGTCACGGCTTTCCACTTACCAGTCACTCTTCATAAAGACCTTGAAGCATGTAACCTTTGCTACCGCAGAATTCCCGCAGTGAAAAATTCTGACTCATTAACCACGATAATCCCATTATTCGAGACCTGATTCCCCGTTCCCAAGGAGCTGCCCATTTGGTATCATGGGTAGTTGGGGCAGAACATAGTGCACATTCTTGCAATATCTACTGTGTCTTTGTGTGAACCTGAGTATGTGCTGTAAATGCTTAATTTTTAAGATGGGGTGGGATGGGGAAACTTTCAAAAGCTTTCCTTTTCTGATCTGAGCCAGACTGAATGGACTTACAGAACCTCCACCGAGAAGTCTGTTGTGCTGAGAGTTCTTGGTGTGTTTTTCCAAAGTCATGGAATAAGTATGTGCCGAATGGCAAAGTTTTAAAACATGACTTCTGTTTAAAAATCACGTCTGTAGTGTTGCCTGTGTGACAAAGATCCAGTTTTCGGTGTCATTACTGCCCTGGTGGTATACTTCAGGGCTGCTCGATGATAAGGCCCATGGTCTGTCGGTCGCAGGTCTGTAATATGCAAATTCCATTTTGCTACACAGAATCTGTGTCTCTGACCCCCTTCACAGAGTCACCCTGCCTATTCCTCACTACCTCCATAGCAACTTTCAAAATCTTCTTTTAAGTGTGCTAATTATAAAGGTGAAAGCAAAGGCATTAATTGGCTAGGCAGCCAAAGCGGAGAAGTGTTATTTAATCCAAATACATTGATTACTGCATAAACAAGAACAGGTTTGATGTGTAGGCAGTGTAAAGCACTCTCTGAAAGGGCTTCCAACCCACTGCTTGATGATTATTTTATCCTGTTTTTCCATTCAAGACCCCTAGGCCACACCTTCAAAGAAGGAACAGATAGATAGATATGGCACCCCTTGGAGACCCTCTTCCCCTTCCACTGCTCAGTGGGAGTCGTGGGGCTTAGAGGCCTAGTGAAGATTTTTCAGGTTTTAGCTCCAACTGCTATACCATGCTGTGAGTTCCAGGGCAAGTTCTCAAGGATGGAGTTCTTAGAAGACTTACCAGGCAAGATGCAGGCGCATAATCAGCTTGTGGCTGCAAGTGTAGATTGTTCTTGTCATTGATGTGCCTGACAGCTGAAGCCCAGTCTGCCCTTCAGAGGGAGTTCTCACCATTTCAGTGAAGTTGTACAAGAAAAAGACAGATAAAGACTAAATATGCAAAGTCCTTAAAGCCTGGTCTGCTCCCGCACTCTCTCTCTCCCCCCTCTTCCCCTCTCCCTCTCTCTCCCTGTCTCCCCCCTCACTCTGTAGCTCTCTCATTCTCTGGCTGTCTCACTCTCTCTCACTCCCTCGCTCACTAGCTCTCTGTTAAAGGTGTTTTTTTTTTTTTTTGGTGGAACCAGGCATTGAACTCAGGCCCTTGCGCTTGCCAGGGAAGCACTTATTTCACTGAGCCATCTCCCTAGCCCCTCACTAGCTCTCTGTTGCTCTTATACTCTCTTGTACAAGACTTTCTGTAAAGGGATTATTACTGTTTGGGAATTTTTCAAAGTTGGCTTAGGGAAGAAGTTTCTTGAGTAGTGAAATGAAAAAAAAATACAACTGACTCATAGGTCAAAGGAAGAGAGTAAACAAAGCAACACACCTCCTGTAATGTCTTTGGTTCACCCTACAGCTAAGAGTTAGATTGAGTATAAGTTACTGAAGAATGGACCTAGAGTTAGTGGTGTGTCTGAGTCCTTCAACTTCTGGGAAAGAGGTTTATGTGACAGCCCAAGTATATTCTGGTTGAAGGTTGGGCCTCCATAAAATTAAACAAAAACATCAAAGCCTGGTCCATGGTGATCTGAAGGCTTCTGTCCAGGATATTTCTGTTCTTTTGGATCCCATCTATAGTCTCAAGCCCACGGTGCTTGCTTGTAACATTTTAATAGCCAGCTTGGATTTTTGGCAGGCTTTTGTTTGGTTTATTTTTCTCTAAGCTGGAGACTTAAGGAATTGAAATTTGAGAGCATTAACTGTGTCTTGGAACTTGGAATTGAAAAAGCTATTGGAGGTGGGTTTTTGTGTTTTTTTGTTCTTTTTTTTTTTTCAACGGGTGCATTGAAGAATGAAGTTTAACTTTTAAAAATGACCATCGGGCAACATAATCACAGCTATTTTTTTTTTCATGAACAATGGAATGAGGTAGTTTGACCAGAGTTGAAGACAAATCTTCCTCATCTTCTTTTTCTTGTTGTTGTTCATTGTCTTCCCTGCCTTCCTCCTCCTTCTCCTCTCTTCACCCCTTCTCTTCCACTTCCTCCTCTTCTCCTGCTCCTCCTTCTGCCTCTCCCCCTTCTTCTCCCTTCCTGCTTTCCTAAATCTAGAGAAACTGTAGTAGAAAATTTTTATGGGGGAGATACAGTAGTAGGATCTTAATCATTTGCATTCTTCATGCACACTATTTTGTTCTGTCTTTCCCACACCTGCCGGTAGAGGGGAACTTTTCTTTGATGATTATTATGACGCCCTTCTGCCCCTTGATTCTATCTCTGTGCTCAGACTGTTGCCTCCCCAAATACATTAGAAGGGTATCTGAAGAACTCCATATATTTACAGCAACCAGGTGAACAGTCTCTCATTAAGCATAATTTATCAGGTTTTTTTTTTCTTCATACGGCTTTTGAATCCTCAAATTCTGGGAGAGAAAAATCTGAATCTGACACATTGGTACTTTTTATGGTTAACTCTTACCAACCCTATTTAGATAAGAAGGAGGCATCTTGGATTATTTCTTGTTCTTTAATTCAGTGCCAATCCTACCCACTCCTCATCAACCCCCTTTCATTGGCAAGATGCTTTCATGTTTGTAAATATCTCTTTGAGCTTCATGTACAATAGCCTCTTTTGAAGCAGGCTATTGTGAGTGGCAGAAATTTCTCCTGAGGTATGAGGACAGCTCCATCCTGCCTTCCAGGGACTTCAAGGCCTAGGGGTTTTATTTCTCTAAACAGACAACAGAATTTGTGTGTGGCTACATTAAAAAGCCTTGGCCAAACTATCTCTGCTTTTCCTTTAAGCGCAAAATGAACTTCAAATTTTAATTTAAAGCCTGAAAGTCTCAGGAATGGCAGAGCACCTGGTGTCCTCAAGGGAGTGATGGTTGAGGGTGGAAAAACTTTGGCTGTCACCCTCCCTGACTCTCACCCCACGAGGCCAAGGTTGTGAGGCATCGCCCCAGCTAACAGCTGTTCCTGGGCCACCTTCTTGTGGCACAGCTGCCTTACCCAGCCTGTTCCCTGGCCTCTGCAGGTCCTGAATACTCTTGCTTTCACTGAACTTCTGCTCACCGGGTAGGTTTTGTTTTTGTAGGATATTTTTCTTTTATGAGCTTTCATGTCTGTTTTATTTACTTCTATCTGCAGGCTTATTCCATGTGCACCATTGTCTGAATTGTCATGAATTTTGGACTTAATTCCAGATCGGCAAAGGCATGTTTTCAGCTGAACAAACCAAGTGAACAAAAAAGCATCAGCCCCTTTTTCCTTTATTCTCATCACTCATCCCAGCAGGGAGGATGGGCGAAGAATGCATCCTCTAGATCCTGAAAGAATTTGTAATA